GGATCCCAGTCCACACAATGAGGTGGAACCCTAGACAAACTCCATTAGATATTTTAAAGTACTGACTCCAGGAATGTCCTCTGGAGATATAAAATCTCGATTCTTTGTTCTACCTCCTAACCAATCATATTGTCATTATATTGGTCACAAACAACCTGTACATGTACCACAATCAGTGAGGTATAATTTTATTTCTGTTCACATTTTATGTTAACTTATGATAGTCCCCAGTTCAATTGGTGTTTTTTCCATGAGAGGTGAGCATGTAATTAAAAACATCAAATATAATTTAAATTTGTCATAGGGCCCACAACTATATGTGGATTCATGACCCTTGGCGTTATGAGGATGAGTAATCATTTCATTGTAATCAAAACAAAGCGCAAGGCAATCTAACACATATCTCTTTCTGTACATGTAGAAAGTTTTAAAAGTACATGTAAGCAAATCACCACAGAAAATACACATACAAATATTTCTTATATAATTTATTTCACTTAAAAAACACCAAAGCAATTGTGTTCCTAAACATACTTTCTCTGTATATTTAGGAAGTTCTACATGCATCTATACAGCCGCAGCAAAGAGCAAGATATGTGTGGCTTACCCTTGCTCTTGAGATAAGATTCACTATAGGAAGTTGTGTACATTAATTTCATAGAATAAAATAGAAAGTAAACAATTGTTCTTTCCAGATCTGTTGCATGTTGTAACAGATTTCAGTCCACTTCAATATCTTTCACAGTCCTTGGGGTAACACCCCACCACATCAAACGCTCTCCTGACCCATATCACGAGGATTTCGTTTTCTCCCACTGTTCAGGTGTCAAGGTCTTCATCTGAAAGGCATGGATCACCTTCAGTTCCTCTTCTAAGACCTTATTTACCAATCTGCAAGACAAAATTGATATACTTGTGTCACTCAGTTGTCTTCCCATCATGAGAGTGAAAACAAGTTTTGCACAAGAGGCCTATAGCCTACAATACATGCCTAAGTTAGGATGGTTCTGCTGCTATTCATCAGCAGATTTTTTCCCATAAATTTCAATATAATGTGGCCCCCAACCTATTGCCAGGTGGTAATAATTTGAACTTAAATCTACACTTTCTGAGAATGTTTCCTTAATACTAATCATGGCTGTAATGTTCTTGAAAAGATTTTCAAATATATTCTAACCGTTGTAAATTTTTGATTGCCAGTTCTAGCCCCCATCTTTTTTAATCTCATATAAAATCTCTGGTCTAATTTTCTAGACAAAGTTTTTCTTACCTGTGTCTTTGAAGAAGAGGGAGCCCTTCAAACTTTGAAGACACAATTACCGTCTGAAATTTGGCACCACAGCCATCTGACATGTCAACCACTTCCTACAAAATAAACCACAGAGAATAATCAGTGGTCAAACACCACATGAATAAACCACAGAGGATAATCAAATGAGAAACACCACATAAATAAACCACAAAGGATAATCTTAAGGCACACGCCACATAAATAAACCACAGAGGATAATCAGTAGAAAAACACCACATAAATAAACCACAGAGGACAATCATAGACAAACACCACATAAATAAACCACAAAGAGATAATTAGAAGACAAACACCACATAATAGACCACAGAGGATAATCAGTCAACAAACACCACATAAATAAACCACAGAGGCTAATCAGTAGACAAACACCACATAAGTCATAAATAAACCACAGAGGATAATCAGCAGACAAACACCACATAAATAGACCACAGAGGATAATCGGTAGATAAACACCACATTAATAAACCACAGAGGATAATCAGTAAACAAACACCACATAAATAAACCACAGAGGATAATCAGTAAACAAACACCACATAAATAAACCACATAGGATAGCCAGTAGACACATACCACGTAAATAAACCACAGAGGATAATCGGTAGATAAACACCACATAAACAAACCACAGAAGATAATAAATAGACAAACACCACATAAATAAACCACAGAGGATATTCAGTAGACAAACACCACATCAATAAACCACAGAGGATAATCAGGGGACAAACACTACATAAATAAACCACAGAGGATATTTAGTAGACACACACCACATAAATAATCAGAGAGGATTTAACAGAGACACAAACACCACATAAATAATCAGAGAGGATTTAACAGAGACACAAACACCACATAAATAAACCACAGAGGATAATCAGTAGACAAACACCACATAATAAACCACAGAGGATAATCAGTCAACAAACACCACATAAATAAACCACAGAGGATAATCAGTAAACAAACAACACATAAATAAACCACATAAGATAGCCAGTAGACACATACCATGTAAATAAACCACAGAGGATAATCAGTAGACACACACCACATACATAAACCACAGAGGATAATCAGTAGACACACTACACATAAATAAATCACAGAGGATTAACAGAGACAAACACCACATAAATAAACAACAGAGGATAATCTTAGACAAACACCACATAAATAAACCACAAAGGATAATAAGAGACAAACACCACATAAATAAACCACAGAGGATAGACAGTAGATATATACCACATAAATAAACCACAGATGATAATCAGTAGACAAACACCACATTAATTAACCACAGAGGATAATCAGTAGACAAGCACCACATTAATTAACCACAGAGGATAATCAGTAGACAAACACCACATAAATAAACCACAGAGGATAGACAGTAGATAAATACAACATAAATAAACCACAGATGATAATCAGTAGACAAACACCACATTAATTAACCACAGAGGATAATCAGTAGACAAACATCACATTAATTAACCACAGAGGATAATCAGTAAACAAACACCACATAAATAAACCACAGAGGATAATCAGTAGACAAATACATGTACCACATAAATAAACCACAGAGGATAATCAGTAGACAAACACCACATAAATAAACCACAGAGATAATCAGTAGACAAACACCACATAAATAAACCACAGATGATAATCAGTAGACAAACACCACATAAATAAACCACAGAGATAATCAGTAGACAAACACCACATAAATAAACCACAGATGATAATCAGTAGACAACACCTCATAAATAAACCAAAGATGGTAATCTGTAGACACACACACCACATAAATAAACCACAGAGGATAATCGGTAGATAAACACCACATAAATGAACCACAAAAAACAATCAGTAGACACACAACACATAAATAAACAAAAGAGGATAATCAGTAAACAAACACCACATAATAAACCACATAGGAAAATCAGTAAAGAAACACCACATAAATAACCCACATAGGATAGCCAGTAGACACATACCACGTAAATAAACCACAGGATAATCAGTAGACACACACTACATACAGAAACCACACAGGATAATAAGTAGACACAATACACATAAATAAATCACAGAGGATAAACAGAGATAAACACCACATAAATAAACCACAGAGGATAATCAGTAGACAAACACCACATAAATAAACCACAAAGGATAATCAGAGACAAACACCACATAAATAAACCACAGAGGATAGACAGTAGATAAATACCACATAAATAAACCACAGATGATAATCAGTAGACAAACACCACATAAATAAACCACAAAGGATAATCAGAGACAAACACCACATTAATAAACCACAGAGGATAGACAGTAGATAAATACCACATAAATAAACCACAGAGGATAATCAGTAGACAAACACCATGTAAATAAACCACCGAGGATAATCAGTAGACAAACACAACATAAATAAACCACAGATGATAATCTGTAGACACACACCACATAAATAAACTACAGAGGATAATCAGTAGACAAAAAAATGTACCACATAAATAAACCACAGATGATAATCTGTAGACAAACTCCACATTAATAAACCACAGATGATAATCTGCAGACACACACACCACATAAATAAACCACAGAGGATAATCGGTAGATAAACACCACATAAATGAACCACAGAAAATAATCAGTAGACACACAACACATAAATAAACAACAAAGGATAATCAGTAGACAAACACCACATAAATAAACCACAGAGAATAATCAGTAGACAAACACCACATAAATAAACTACAGAGGATAATCAGTAGACAAACACCACATAAATAAACCACATAGGATAATCAGTAGACAAACACCACATAATTCATAAATTAAATAAACCACATAGGATAATCAGTAGACAAACACCAGATTAATAAACCACCGAGAATAATCCGAGATTCCTCTGACTCTAACCCCTGCTTCTAACTCATTCTTCAGTACTGGTGAATTTTTAAAATGTATTTCTTTTCTCCTTTGTTTTCCAATAAATAAAGTGTAAGCAGATAGATTGATATTGATATGATTTGATACTTGTGTAAGGATATAGTATAAATAGTTTTGTGGATATGAGTTGAGGAATAAAAAAATTATTGATCATTGTTGTATTGCATTCAGGGGATATCAGATGCAGAAAATGTGACATAATTTTCGAATAGGCATAAAGATGTTGTTTTATTTAAAAATAAAATCATTTGGCATGATATTTGTGTACATTATCTTAGCATGTAAATGAAATAATATATTTATTTTGTCAAACATGCTAAAATTATCTTAATTATTTTTTTCTGAACTTAAAAATTTGTGGTTTATGTTCGTAACGCATGGTGTCCATATGCATTGAACTTTTTAACACCTCTCTACAAACATTAAATAATTTGTCAAGTTCAGTTTCTGTGTTAAATTAATGAGTATGTGTGATAAATTATTTTTAACAATATGCTTCAAGAACATAACTCAGTTCTTTTTGTAATTTTAAAATGATCTCTGATTGTAAAATGTTTGGTGTCTTGACCGTTACGAACATAATAGCTTTCAGTATGATTGCTAAAATAACAGCCAATGAATCATAAGTTTGGCTCAAAAAGTCCGTAGCAGTGGTGTAATTATAAATTAAAAACGAAAGTAGAAAGGTTGCGCAGCTGTCTGCTAGAAAACATGGCGATGCTCATTGTGTCCATGTGGAAAAAAAGAAGTTACGAACATAATAGATTCGGTAAGTATTTTCATATTGTATCAATTTTAGTGAATGTTTAACACGTAAATACAGTCATTGTATCTTTATACCATGTAGCTATTAATCAGAAACTGAAATATGTCTCTTATGACCATACAAAATGCATAAATCTGTCCGAGTCGAGGACTTTCGGTTTAACATTTGACTTTTGATTCGCGTCTTTTGTTACGAACATAAGTGTTTTTGCATTATTTGTATAATCTATTAATGATAAAGTTATATTGTACTATATTTTATTCTATATTTGTTAGTTTTGTTCTGCTCTTATCAAAGGATGAATACTTATTGAATATCTGTTTTAATATTGTCATATCATTTACGCAATTACGTTCGTAACAGAGACACGAAAACTTGAAGTAGTGACATAATTTGTACTTTAATTGCCTTCTTTCTGATTTTATCAAAGATATATAATAAATATAATTAAACAGCATATGTGTTGATTACATAATGTTGTATTTTGTTTTATTTTTTTTTTCTTTCAGATTTACAAGAAATGACTGAATTATGTTCGTAACAATGACACAAAGATCCAAGACTCAAAATAGAAGACCTAGGATATTTAGTTATTCATCTGACAATTTACTTGTCTGCATTAATTCTATTTGAAAGCTTGTCTATTATTAAGCTTTGAAATGAAATATTAAAAGTATTAAAGACAAGTGTTCGATTGTCTTGTTATTTTTTTGTTCCTTTTTAAAGCCTGATTCGGAGTTAGGTGTCCATGTTACTTACATAATTTCTCCTTTTTTGAAACTAGAAATAAAAATTGTGACTTTTTAAATAAATTCCATTTAATATAACATTAAACATGATTTCATCATACCTTATTGATTACATTATTTTCATATTTTAACAACTTGTTAAATTCTAGTAACATGTTACTTGTTTAGTGCTTATGTAAGTAACGGTGTCCATTGGTTGTCTTGGATATATTTTCTAATTGTAATGGAATAAGGCAGAAATAAGTTATGCAATAAAACATGCAAACTAGTGTTTATATACTTCAAAAAGGATTCACCAGAAAAGAATAGCTGATTGTTCTAAAAAACAGTCACTGTGGACACCAAGTTACGTACATAAAATTTCAGACATGCTTGTACATTTGGACACCTATCTCCTCTTTAAGACTTCAGATTATCTTCCCTTCATTTTTTTTCAGAAGCAGGAAGAGTACTGACTTAATTAATATACATAAATTATGAAATTGATTATTTTTAAAATATAACCCTTTGGTCACACATCTGAACTCAGTACTGAAGAATGAGTTTTCTATATTGTGACTTGGGCAGGTCTCCCCTTAGCTGCAATAATGTAGCCCTCTCCCTTTTTTTTTTTTTTTTTTTTTTTTTGGGAGAAAACATCAGATAAAAAAAATCGGAGAGGGCTACATTATTGCAGCTAGTCTCCCCTGCCCAAGTCACAATATAAAAGCAGGGGTTAGAGTCAGAGGAATCTCGGATTACACAGAGGATAGACAGCACTTGGACAAACACCCCATTAATTATTAATAAACCACAGAGGATTATCATTGAACAAACACCACATTCATCTGACATATCTTATTATCTTCCATCTCCCTTTTCACGCTTACCAAATGGGTCAATTCAGCCAGCTCCGGCGAAGATTTTAATTTTTCTTCAATGTGCTCGGTGCTCGACATGCCGATAGTTTTACTTTTACCCCTTCAGAATAACAAAGAAACTACTGCATAAAACGAAATAAGCAGAATTGTAAAATTACAAATGTCTATTAAGTTTAAAAAATACTTTGAGCTGAAAAAATCTATAAATATAAGATTTTTTAATAGCTTTATAAGAAAAATCACCAGTCTTCGATAAAATGATTAACTAAATTTGTTTTCGTTTTATTAGAATGCAATCTTATTTCTTCGAGATGACATGTCATCTAGCGACCTACTTTCACTTTGTCTGTTTTTGTATATCGTTTTTCTGTGTTTTCCCTACTTAGGCGCTGTCTACCCAAAGTCCAATGAGTGCAAAAGACTTGACATTTTCGACATAATCCTAAGAGATAAGTGTCCATGTACATCTATCCTACAGAGTTTTAAAACCTGGAGATTCGATCGAAGACAGGTCCTAGCTACTACCTTTCCTCTGGACCCAATTTTGCAAAACTACGTGAGACAAGTTCCAAAATGTTTATTTTCTGCCGTCTACCCAATTCCTTTTAAGACAGAAACATCCCTTGTATCTTATTCCAAGTCAGTTTTAAATGATATTTTGGATCTGTCGGACCATGTAACCACCACAAAAGAATTTGTAGACTTTGTAAGTGGCTCCCAGGTGTTGTCGAGTTCTGTCCCCTTGTCTCACCGGTATGGGGGACACCAGTTTGGTTATTGGGCGGGTCAGCTCGGGGATGGGAGGGCGGTGATGCTGGGGGAATACACAAATCAGAGAGGAGAGAGATGGGAACTGCAGCTGAAGGGATCAGGAGGGACGCCGTATTCTCGTCAGGGAGATGGTCGGGCGGTCCTCAGGTCATCTGTCAGGGAGTTTTTATGCAGCGAGGCAATGTTCCACCTTGGTATGCATATTCTTTTCTTCCAAGTGTGAATCTGCATCAGTACAAACATGCTGTAAATCAAAAAAATTTAACATTCAGAAATTTCATTATACTGTAAACATATTATGTTTGGCTGTGTATTCTTTTTAGCGCCTCTGGCGGAAAGAAACTTTCGCTAATTCAAGTACAATGCTAATTGTACTCATAATTAAATAAGAACATTAAGAAATGCGCTAAATCAATTCCATGCTAACTTGTTCAAAGGACGATTTCCGCTAAATATCGTACACGCCAAATATAATACATTTACAGTATATGCATGTTCTTTAGATTGTCTTTTTGCAATGAAAAAATTCTAGACACTAGAAACAGTAAGCAAGTCATGATGGATGATAACTATCCTACTGTAGACACTTAGTTTGTTCCGAGACACAGTTAGATAAATCTAAACTTTTTAGCAATGGTAAAACAAGAATAGATTAATTTAATGCTACATTTAATCAGAACCAAGCATTTCTTATGTGATCCTCTCTTTATAATCAGGTATACCCACCAGTCGAGCGGCAGCTCTTGTGGTGTCTGACGACCCTGTTATGCGGGACCAGTTTTATGACGGACATCCTCGAGTCGAGAGAGGCGCTGTCATCCTCAGGTTAGCTTACTCCTGGTTCCGGATTGGCTCGCTAGAAATCCTGGCAAAAAATAATGAACTTCAGCTTCTTCGTCAGCTTTTAAACTTTGTTATTGAGAACTACTTTTTACACATAAATTCGACAGGCAAGGATAAGTATCTGGAGCTTTACAGTATGATTGTGTCGGACACAGCTGAGCTGATCGCGCAGTGGCAGAGCGTAGGATTCACTCATGGAGTTTGTAACACTGATAACTTCAGCCTGCTCTCCATTACTATCGATTACGGCCCCTTTGGGTTCATGGAGGATTACAACCCTAAGTTTGTACCGAACTCTTCAGACGATGAAGGAAGATACAGTTATGAAAAACAACCCGATGTTGGAGTTTTTAATCTGGAGAAATTAGGGGAGGCTATAAAACCTGTACTAACTCAACAGCAGCAGAAACAGTTACCTCATATACTGAAAGGCTATGAGAGCATTTATAAAGACAAGTTCATGAAGCTGTTTAGGCAAAAACTAGGGTTGTATACAGACAAAGAAGATGATGAGAATTTATTGGCAGTCTTTATAAAAATCATGGAGGATACAAAGTCAGATTTTACCATGTCCTTTAGAGAACTTGGAGAAATTGATCTGTTTGGATTAAAAACAGAGGCAATTCCTCAAAATTACTGGGCTCTAAATACAATGGCAGACCATGAGTGGTTTTGGAAGTGGATAATAATCTACAAAAAAAGATTAGAACTTGAAGGCACCACAGAAAAAAGTAGGCAGTCCCTCATGAATAAAACCAATCCAAGATACATACTGAGGAACTGGATGGCTCAGGAGGCCATAGAGAAGGCAGACAGAAATGACTTTAGTGGGGTCAATAGACTGCTGGGGGTCCTGGAGCGTCCTATGGACTTAAACCCAGAGGCTGAGAGGGCGGGGTATTCCTCCAGACCCCCAGAGTGGTCCAAATCTCTCAGGGTCAGCTGCTCCTCATGATGTGGGGTAAAAACTCAGGGACATTTAGTCATACTTTATTTTGCAGTTAGTTCATTTGATATTACATGTATCATGGTGAATGTACATCATTAAATGTTCAGAGATATAACTATGGATGATGATCATTACATGAGCTACATGTATCTGTCTTATATCTTATTAATGAAATTGAATAACTATACATTTAAAAAAAAGTACACCTTCTTGAAAAGTTAAGTTTTGAAATATGATATTCATATACAACATGCATCTGATTTTGAGTTGCGTTTTTTATATTTAATTTGCCATTTGGTGATATTGCCTAATAAGTAACTGATATCCTTGATTCAACTTATTCAGTGATGGTTTCATTGTGGTTTTGAAAAGGGGGGGGGGCACCAAGTGAATTTTTTAATTACTTAGCTGAAAAAGTTGACAACCTGCAAAGATATCACATTCCAATAATGTCCTTTTTGAATACAGTCATATCACCTTTTCCTTTGCTTTTTAAATTTTGAGATCAAGTTTAAAAAAAAAAAAAACAGCTGCCAAAGTATTGGTATTAGTAGATCAGATGTCTTTCTTTTCCTCTAAGCCCACTGTGCACACACATACACACATGTACACTACGAAATTCAGTAATCAGAAATTAAAATTGGGAGGGGGCATAAAAAAAATTAAGCAGATCTAAAAAGAAACCTGACAAGCAAAACAACAGGCCCGTGGGCCACATCGCTCACCAGAGCGTGCATGACTAGGAAAAATGCAGAAATCAGTTTATTATTAAAAAATGAAGTTTAAACCCAATAGTGGTCCCAACCAATCCTTAAAACAGAGAGGGTATGATTTGGACAAACTTGAATCTACACTAACTAAGGATGCTTGCATATTTCTTTGACTACCTGTGGCTTTATTTTCACTTGCATTTGAACTTACATTGTGGCCCCGCCCTACCCCCAGGGGTCATGATTTGAACAAAATTGAATGTCTACTACCTGAGGATGCTTCATAAAAATATGATCATTCATGCCTTTGCTATTCTTGAGAAGATTTTTAACGGATTTCCCTATATATTTCTATGTAAAACTTTAATAGGCCAATGTGGCCCTGCCCTACCCCCAGGGGTCATGATTTGAACAAACCTCAATCTACGCTACCTGAGGATGCTTCCATATAAATATGATCATTCATGCCTTTGCTATTCTTGAGAAGAAGACATTTTTAAAGAATTTTCCTATATATTTCTATGAAAAACTTCAATCGGCCATTGTGGCCCCGCCCTACCCCAGGGGTTATGATTTGAAGGAAGCTGAATCTACACTACCTGAGGATGCTTCCATATAAATATGATCATTCATGCCTTTGCTATTCTTGAGAAGAAGATTTTAAAAGAATTTTCCTATATATTTCTACGTAAAACTTTAATTGCTTGGCCATTGTGGCCCCGCCCTACCCCCGCGGGGGTCATGATTTAAGCAAACTCGAATCTACATTACCTAGTTGTGGATGCTTCCCTATAAGTTTCATCTTTCATGGCACAGTGGTTCTTGAGAAGATTTTTAAAACATACCATCAAACTTTCACTATTTCTCAATTATCTCCCCTTTTATAAGGGCGTGTCCCTTCATTTGAATAAACATGAATCCCCTTCACCTAAGGATACTTTGTGCCAAATTTTGTTGTGATTGGCCTAGTGGTACGTTGATTGCGGCTTTTACTTGTAGGCGTATTATATGATGCCATGTTCTTGCCTCAGATACCCAAAATGTTTATATACAATATAAACGCAATATACAAAAACAACTTGCTATTTTTCGTATCTGAGTGTGTAAAGGGTCCTTAAATTAATACCAAATACATGTAAGATGTTATTGAACTGCAGAAATGTACTTTCTAATTATTTGGGTCAGTAAAGTTATTCATCATTGTATATGTTGTAGGCGTATAGATAAATATTGTGTATATACAATTATTACTCAATGAAGCATGTTCGTTCATCAATATCCGTAATACACGTATAGGTACAACAGATACTCATTTTATGCACAGTAACTGTCGGCCAAAATTTTTTTCTAAATTTTTAATCCAATTCCAATGTACCTTTTAAAAAATTGCATGGATAGGTCCAGCTATTAATGAATATATATAATGAATAATATTCAGTCAAAATACACTGTGTCACTATATAGCTAAGATTCCTTTTTAGCTCACCTGAGCTGAAGGCTCAAGTCAGCTTTTCTGATCACATTTTGTCCGTCGTCCGTCCGTCTGTAAACTTTTCACATTTTCGACTTCTTCTCAAGAACCACTGGGCCAATTTTGACCAAACTTGGTACAAAGCATCCTTGGGTGAAGGGGAATTTAAATTGTAAAAATGAAGGGACATATCCCCTCGCAAGGGGAGATATTAAATTAAGAAAAGACAAAAATAGGGTTGGGTCATTAAAAAATCTTCTTCTCAAGAACCACTGGGCCAGTAAAGCTGAAACTTATGTGGAAGCATCCTGGGGTAGCGTAGATTTTAAATTATACAAATCATGACCCCCGGGGGAAGAGCGGGGCCACAATGGGGAATCAAAGTTTTATAAAGAAATATATAGGAAAAATCTTTGAAAATCTTCTCCTCAAGAACCACTGGGCCAGAAAAGCTGAAACTTATGTGGAAGCATCCTGGGGTAGCGTAGATTCTAAATTGTTCACATCATGACCCCCGAGGGAAGGGCGGGGCCACAATGGGGAATCAAAGTTTTATATAGAAATATATAGGAAAAATCTTTGAAAATCTTCTTCTCAAGAACCACTGGGCCAGAAAAGCTGAAACTTATGTGGAAGCATCCTCGTATAGTGTAGATTCTAAATTGTTCACATCATGACCCCCGGGGGAAGGGCGGGGCCACAATGGGGAATCAAAGTTTTACATAGAAATATATAGGAAAAATCTTTGAAAATCTTCTTCTCAAGAACCACTGGGCCAGAAAAAGTGAAGCTTATGTGGAAGCATTCTGGGTTAGTGTAAATTCTCAATTGTAGGAATCATGACCCCCGGGGAAAAGGTGGGGCCATTATAGGGAATCAAAGTTTTACATAGAAATAATATAGGAAAAATCTTTGAAAATCTTCTTCTCAGGAACCACTGGGCCAAAAAAGCTGAAACACAAGTGCCCATGGAAGGATCATGGGGTAGCGTAGATTTCAAAATGTCTAAATTATGATCAATGGGGTAGGGTGGGGATGCATTATGTATAACAAGGGGGAAATCTGGTAAAGAACAGAATGGTCAAAGCTTCTCAGGTGAGCGATGTGGCCCATGGGCCTCTTGTTGTATTGACCGTTGCGATGTTGTTGCGTCATCATTCATTCTAGGCATGGTGACTTTCTCATGCATGTTGTTCAACTTCAGACTTGCAGAGGTATTGCGAATTGTGGACATTAAGAACCCTCTACACACTGACGAAAAATGTTTTTTGGACTTTGAGAAAATTATATAGTGTAAAGGAGGCTATTTTGAAATAAACTAATCCATTTCTAATATAGGGAGCGTGCCTTCTTTATCCAGGAAAAATCTTTGAAGACAGTGAAGTAATGACGAAGAAAAATTGCTTTTGATTATTCAAATGGAGAAAATACATGCAAATAAAGTTTTCAATTACTCTATCTTGGTCTAACATAATGTTTAGAATACATGGATTTATTTAAAAATTTGTCATACAGTGCAGATTACAATTTATTCCTTTTGATTTCAAATGGTGGGTCAGTCTAACTACACGCATTAGTACCATGAAATTTGGGTGCAGTGTAGAGAGGGTCCTTAACTCAGGCAGATTAGAAAATTGAATGAGCGATCGAGTTATCATCCTGTTAATCGTTAAAGAACATAACATAGTATACACCTATTTACTGGCTATGAGGACAATAGCAAGTTTATCGTCCCCCAAGACAGCAAACTATTTCCCGAGGCGCAGCCGAGGGAAATAGTTTGCTGTCGAGGGGGACGATAAACTTGCTATTGTCCGAATAGTCAGTAAATAGGTGTTTTATTATACCGATGCTGACTTAACTTTTGTTAACTTTTGGGAGTCCAGGGTACACACAATTATGATATTCCATATATATAATACCGGTTCTGACTTAACTTTTGTTACGTCATAATATATACGCGTCACAATCCATGTAATCAGAAGTCAAGATTTTCAGAGATGAAAAGCGAGGGAAATCGAATGCTGCCGTTGAATAGTTTGAGGACTATTCACCATGGGCAAATAGCACAGTAGTATAAACGGCCTGGCCGGGCGGGTCAACCAAGTGCACTTTTGGGGTTGGGGGGATAGGGGGTTCAAGGGAGCGCAGCCCCTGTGGGGGATAGGCGGGTCAAGAGAGTGCAGTCCCTGGAGGGGATAAGTGGGTCAATTCAGTACATATGTTGCATCATCTTTTTAGATCTATTGCATCATCTTTATATATCTATTGCATCATCTTTTTAGATCTATTGCATCATCTTTTTGATACCTGTTGCATCATCTTTCAAACTGGATTTCCTCAAAACATTAACAAATAACACACAAGACCAAAACAAAAGAACACAGCAATTTTATTCAAGTGAAAAAATACAACAATTTACTTTTTCTTCTTCTGTGCCTTATCAGTGGTCAGGGGTAGTTTCCTCTTGGGTTCCTGAGGCTTTTTCTCCATTTTTTGTATTTCTTTGACGAATTGTTGATCCTCCTCATCCTCTGTACACTGATTAGCCCAATGACCAGATATCCCGCACTTGTAGCACAAATCTGTCTTGGGACAATCTGGGGCCCAATGCCCTAACTCTTTGCACCTGTAGCATGGATCCGTCTGTCTAGTTTTCTTAGTCTCTCCGGATCCCCCTTCTTTTTTCTGGTAAGTGCTTCCTCCTTTCATTTTAGTGATGTAAATTTTCAGATGATTCAGCTGGTTTTGAACATCACTCACCTTGTTGTTCATATCATTCATCTTGTTGTCAATACCAGACAGCATGTTGACAATTCCATCCACAGTTGTATTCAAGATGCCCATATCTTCTTTATTCGCATATTCTTGAAAATTATAGGGGGCTCCTACATATTCTTCAGGTGTCACATAGCTGGGGTTGTGTGGGGTATTCATCATTGCTTCTTCCATA